TACAGCAAACATGACTACCTGTTTTTATATGTTTTAATCATTTTAAAATTTTATTGTATTTATTAAATGGTTGTAACCCACTCTGAGACCGTTTACGGGATGGGTGAGATATAAATGCGAAATAATAATAATAATAAAAATAGGGTGTGGTCACATGCACCAGAAAAATGGGGGGAGGGGAAGTGAGGCTATTTCCTCTGAAGGAAACAGACTCGCAGTTGCACGATCACACCGCCCTTTGAAGCTGTGGACACAGCCCATCATTGTGTGATCAGACGCAACTGCGGATGAGTCGGGGGTTTTTTTGGTGCCGTTTGTTTCCCGTGCGCTTAAACGAGGAATTGATGAACCGCACCTCTGCACTGAGGGCTCCCTATGGAGTTTGTGATGATGTGCATACTGCGAAGGGGGAGGGAGCAATGACACGGAGTTGGGATGGCCTGATCAGACCATCCTGACATCATGAGAGTGATTTGGAGCAGTCAGACAGGGGAAAGTCCGTCGGTGGCCCATCGCAACCCATTTACTACCAGAGTTCCCAGTGCCTTTTGACTCCACTTCTGTGGTGGAGCAGAATGGGTTGCCAATGGCTGCAGGTTGCTTCCCAGATATTGTCTGATCACACCTTTTAATTCCACCTGGCATTCACACCTATGTCGAGTCTTAACTGTGCGTATGATCACAGCCATAAATGCAATTTATAATATTCCTTCAGCTTACTTGAAATTAAATGGCTATAGAACAGACCAATTTGTATTAAATAGAGGGATAAGACAGGGATGTCCATTATCACCTTTATTATTTGTAATAATAATGGAACTACTAGTAGCCAGAATAAAAAATAATGATGATATATCTGGTATAAAGATTAATGACAATAACTATAAGATATTCTTTGCATCTTTGCAGATGATATACTTTTATTCCTTTCACAACCCATACTTTCACTACAGACTTTACAATTAGTGTTAGACGAGTTTAGTACTATTCCAGGATTAAAAATCAACCTTACTATATCTTATATACTCCCAATTATTGTAGAGGCAGAAACATTGTTATGTATTAAAATCATACACCTTTAAATGGGTCACAAACCAACTACCTTATTTAGGTATTAAAATACCAACAGAAATTAAAAATCTGCAGAAAATTGATCAGGATTTAATCTTCCAAGATAATAAAAACCTTTTATATAGATGGCATAAATTCAATATTTCTTGCCACGATAGGTACAATATTATAAAATAATATATTCTTCCTAAATTTATTTTCTTATTTAGAGCAATACCAATGAGAATATATATATCTCAATTACAAATTTGGCAAAAAGCACTACTAGATTTTGTGGGGGCATATAAACATCATCAAATAAATATAACTACTATAGGTAAGAGAACTTCTGATGGTGGACTTGGTTTCCCAAACTTACTACAATATTATTAAGCTGTCCACTTATCAAATGTACTAAAAATGCTAAGTCAGTATAATGATATAGACTGGATAAATATTCAACTTACCCATACTCCATACAATCACCCTGGGGACATCCTCACAAAATATGGAATAATCCTTTTTAACTAGCTTCCTTATCTATTTGGGACAATAAGAGAACGTCTTTAATATCAAAAATCTCTTGATTTCAAACTTTTTTAAATCAACAAGGCATGCTGTCAGCTAACACTATAAGTAACCAAGTTGTATGGAAGAAAGCTTACAACTCTTAAAGATATTTCAAATAGTAAAAACCTTATGGATAAATCTGTGCTGGAAAACGAACTGATTCCAATTTTATAATTAAATCATCTCTGTCAACAAATCCATTTATCATATACTAGGAATAAGGCCCTTTGTGGAAATAAATACAACAAGCTCTAGAGAGAGGCTTTGGGAGAGTGTCAAAGCTTTGACACTCAGTGTCAATTTGCTGTGGCAACCTCAACAGGGTATAATGACATAGAGTCCACCCTTTTCTCCAGGGGAACTGATGTCTGCTACCTGAAGAGCAGTTGTAATTTTGAGTGACCTCCACCCCTCACCTGGAGGTTGGCAACAATTGTTACCCAGGAGGAAATGGCTTGTTGGGAGGGTGGATTCTATGGCATTGTACCTGTCTGAAGTCCCACCCCTCCTCAAACCTCACCCTCTCCAGGTTCCATCCCTCAAATCTCCAGGAGCCTGAAGATCACCAGGTATCACAACTGAACTCCAGACAACAGATCTCCCCCCCCCTCCAGAGAAAATAACTGCTTTGGAAGGTGTGCTTTGTGGCATTCTGTTCAGCTGAGGCCTCTCCCCTCCCCAAACCCTGGCTTCCATAGACTCAATCAGAAAATCTCCAGGAATCTCCCTACCTGGAGCTGGCAACCCTAGTCAGGACTGGCCCCAATGAGTTCCTCACAAAGGCCTGCAAAGGGTTTCCCTCCTTTGTCTGAACCAAACTTGGTTGCCTACTGTGGTGAAAAAGGCTCCAGTTTACAACTCAGCTGTTTGCCTCTCACCCTCGTCCTGTGGGCGTATCTCACCCCTTAAGTTTGCTGCCACCAGTCATGGAATCATCACTGCCTTTTTAGAGGGACAGTGAGACTGCGCTGGCCGAATCTCCCTATTTGGAGATGGAATCCCCAATCTTTGGGAGATCCCTGGAAAGTTCGCAACCCAAGGGTCTGGCCTTTTCTTGCTTCTTTGGGCTACCCCCTCCCTTTGGTATTGTGCAGAGTGGGGGAGACTATAAGGTCAGAGCATGACACAGATTATTAGCCCGAATAAAAGAATTTATTTAACTATTTACACAATTATGGAGCACACACTACACACAATACTCTCTACCTCTGGAGGTTGTGGATTCAGGATAGGATCTCTCTTTGGACTGGCCTCTGGGTCTGCTTCAACCTCTCTCTCTCTTGCTCCAGAGAGCAGGGAAACTTCAATTCATTCCCCAGTCCAACTGACTGTGGAGCATTTCTGCTGCCTCTCAGGGTTCCCCCAGGTCTCTGGCTTGTGGCCTGGACAGCCTTGTCAGCAGAGGCAGCAGGAGCCTTTCCTAACCTCCTGTAGGACGAAGGCTGCCTCCTCCATGGATGGGCTGGAGTGTATATTGATGCGGCCCAGCCCCTTGGGACAGTCCTTCTCTTCCTGCACTTTTTGGCCTTGGGACAGCTGGGAACTGTAGGCCAGGAGATGAGGAAGCCCCATTCAACCCAGTGAGTGATACCTCTGCAGGCCCCTCTCTGGAACTACAGCCTAATTAAACCTTATGGGGGAACATTTTAAACAAACAACCACAGATGGCAGCCATCTTACAAACATAGGTAACTGCCATTTCATTACACCTACCAACAGCCACTGAGGGAAAAGTTAGTCCCACACAGGAGACAAGCAGGAGAAGCGTCTTTGTCAAGAGAGAAAGCCGTTTGCCAGTAATTCTGACAGGGCACAGTGGTTTAAGGAGTGGGCAGGGAAGAGGAGCAGACCCAGCACCCAGCCAATGGCACATGAGTACTCTTGAGTGGCGTCTGATGGGCCAATGGCTGAGGGAGCGCATTGCACAGCCAATGGGAGAGCTGGAAAGTGCCACTCCACTACTCAATCATATATAAGGAGAGATTATTAAACAGCCTCTATCAGAATCTCAACAAATTTATTTAAAAATCTCAAATATCAAAAAAAACTAATCTCACATATTTATACAAATTTAATTCAAATTGAATTACTCCTTTAGTATGCCTGATAAAGTCGTAAAAAGACTGTGGTGAAGTAATGTCTGAAGCAGCTTGGCAAAGTTTTTGGGCATCATCCCCTTTTCATTGTAATATTTTAGATGTAAAACTACAAACTTTCAAAATCACTGCACATTGATATTTAACACCACAAAAATTAGCTTCTATAACCCCATCAGATATTCCAATGTGCTGGAAAAAGTGTGGACAAAAAGGTAATTACCTTCTTTGTTGGTTAGAATGCTGTAAGTTAAAAACCTTCTGGGAAGATATTTTAAAACAAATAAAGCATATAACAAGAATAATTGTAGAATTTAATCCAAAACATATTTTTCTTAATGCTTGGAAGTCATATCCTATAGCTACTATGGAGAGAGTTATTTTATTATTTGCAGGGGGGAAAATGCAATCACATTAAAATGGAAAGATCGCTCAAGTCTGACTAAACAGAATTGGCATAAAAATTATGGAATCTATATGTAATGGCTAAAAACCCCACATAACCTAGAAGATACATTTTCTCAAGAAATGTTATCCAATTTTATATCAATATGGTATCCAATATTAGAATACTTCATGCAACAAGAAGAGATTCCAAACATAATAAATGATTTGCATCTTTGGTAATTAAAGAATGTCACAAAGAAGATTGTAAATTGAGTCTTTTTTATATTGTGCTCTACATATGACATTCATTTTATTGTATTAGCTTTGCAATTTTTTGGTTAATCGTTTATTGTAAAGTTTTTGTAATAAAAATAAAAATTGTTGCTTAAAAAAAAGCTTTTGACAAAGTACCTCACGAAGGATTCCAGAGTATTCTTAGCAGTCATGGGATAAGAGGGCATGTCCTCTTATGAATTAAAAATTGACCAATTGACAGGAAGGAGAAAGTAGGAGTAAATGGACAGTTCTCTCAGTGGAGGGAAGTAAGCAGGATCCTTACTGGGGCTGGGGCTATTCAGTTTGTCCATAAATGATCTGGAACTGGGGAGAGCAGTGTAGTGGCCAAGTTTACAGACAACACAAAATAATTCAGGATGGCAAAAACCAAGGCCAATTTTGAAGGACTCCAGGCGGATCTTCACAAATTGGCTGTGTGGGCAATGATGTGGCAAATGAAATTCAATGTAGGTAAATGAAAGGTGATGGACCAAATAAATCCCAACTTTAAATATACACAGCTCTCTGTTTGCAACTGATGAATGGGATGTGAGCCAAACTGGTGGATGTCTAAGCATCCCTAAACAAACGCTGTAATATTTTACTTTTTTTATTTTTAAGCCTGGAAGAAATGAGAGTGAAACCAGCAGTCAAAGAATCAAACCAGTGTTTGAAGAGGATCCTATTTTTGGTCGACAAACATCCTATCAGAATGCAGCGGTCCACATACCAACAGATATATATGAAGGATGTAAGTAATTGATCAACTAATGGAATCTTGTTAACCTTCCCCATGCATGAAGGAGATAGTTGTAAATTGTTTGGATTAACAATGTATGGTTGGGTGTTCCAAATGAATCATTGTATCATTGAATCACTGTTCCAAATGAATCATTGTTCCAGATGAATCATATGGGTGAAGGGGGGAACCGGGATCTGTGTCTGCAACCTCCATGATTTGATGAGGTCTTTTGCAGGGAACCTGTGCATAGGCTTTCTAGAAGGGATGGAGCTTAATCAGTGGTTGTTAGCATTAAATCGGGTGAGTAGACAAGACTCATCAGTATCTATATTCTCTGTAACTTTTACACAACCTTATGAATTATGTCAACAATTGCAGTGTAACATAGGCCACATTGCTATGTGTCCATGTTCACATTATGAGTTTGTCTGTGTGTGTCTCATTCTGATATTTTATCCTGGACAATTTTAAACCAAGGACACAATTTTAAATCTCTTATAGAATGAGACTGAGAAAATACATAGGTCAGCTATGATAATTTAGAAGATAAGCAATGAGCAGGACATTGGTTGTGAAACTGGATTGTTGTGACTATGCTAATTTTTCTCATCTGTTGCCTTTGCATGCAGTAAATCCAAACTGCTAAACTGCTTCTGACAGCTCTCCTTGAGTGAGGTTCAGCCTCAGGCACTGAGGAAAATGGGGAAAATGCTTGAAATGCTCCTAAAGCATATAGTGTTCTAAGGGAATGCTTAGAGGTGCTTCTAGGTTAGGTAACAATGTAAAATGTTGTTAGAGCTGATGTTTATTTTTTATTATAGAAAAGTTTGAATGAATGTTTTTCAGACTTGAGGTAGCACTGCAGATGGTGTTATTAACATGGCCCAGTTGTTTACAAATGACCCTGAAAATCTTATAGATATGCTGATGCTCAATGTACAGTGGCACATCTGTAAGTGTGAAGAGCGTGCATATATTAGGAAAGTGAGATTGTGTTGCTCTTTATCTGCTTCATGTTCACTCACCAGACCTTTCATGCATGTATACCTCATTGAAATGTAGAGTCCAATGCACAAACTCATGATTCAGATAATCCTTATTTTGAGAGAGAAAGATTAGGTCAGGATGGTACCCATGGGGACCATGGCACCCACCAACACCTTGCCAGACAAGTGTTTTAAAAAGTGGGTGGGCCAGCTGGAGCTTTTGTCCAGCAAGGCTTCTGATTAGCCATTGGAGATTGAATTGGCTGAGTAAAGGTTTTTTTTTTTTTAAAAAAAAAATGCTTTCATCAGCAACAGCCAAAACAAGTATCTTCATTATGTTTCTGAAGATATATGGTGTGTATGTAAGAAAATATTTTAAAACAATATGTTCATTTTAATAGGTATCTTATTTAAGCTTCTGCCTGAAATAGTGCAACTTTTAAGAATTATGCATAACCTCGTTTCCTGACACTGTTCAGTTGGCACCACCTCCTGTGGCAGTCATTTTGCATTTGCACCCACCACCCTGTCTCAGAATTCCAACAGTGCCTGCAGGATCCAAAAAAGGTTGGAAGCCCCTTCTCTAGGTGACAGTATTCATTCCAGATTAAGTTACATCTTGGAAAGAAATAGGTTTTTCATGTTTGTTATTTTATAGGGATCTGCCCTAGAAATACTTATTTCCTGTCTGCTGTGTATAAATTTGAATGTGCATTCACATTTTTACACTAGCGACTGTACCCAAAACCAACTAGGATCATTGGATGCAGTTATGTCTTGTAATAAATAGCAAATGCAAAGGTTCATATAGTCATATTTACACATTTTGATGCACATAAATGTAGCGAGATCACATAACACATTGGGCTAACTGATCTATCTATTAAGTTCTATCAATCTTGATTAGCAGAGCCTCCTGTCATGATGTGCTGGCAGAGGCTTGTTCATGGCTATCATATTTGCATTCTCTGATTTGGTGTAGTGGTGTACAGACTCTAATCAGGGAGAACCGGTTTGATTCCCCACTCCTCCACTTGCAGCTGCTGGATGACCTTGGGCAAGCCACAGTTCTGACAATAGCTGTCCTTGACAGGGCAGTTCTGGCAAGAGCTCTTTCAGCCCCACCTACCTCACAGGGTGTCTGTTGTGGGGAGGGGAAGGGAAAGGAATTTGTAAGCTGCCCTGAGACTTCAAGTGAAGGGCGGGGTGTAAATCCAATCTCTTCTTCTTCTTCTAAACCAGTACGTCTACACTTGCAACATATTTTCCATCCCTATAGTAGGATTCCTCCTCTGTTTAAATAGTGTCTGGGAGGATAAATTCATCTGGAGTAAGTTGCTTACATACAACATATAGATTTTCTTACTATGCTGTTCCCCCATTATATGATTTCTGCAATTTGCATTATTAGAATAAAAATTCTAATAGTCAATGATAAACATACACGTTTTAAATATGAGTTTTCCAGTGAACCCTTTCTCAAATGGCACCAGGAAAAATGCATAAATTAGCTTTTCAGAAGTGATGGATTTTCTCATAATGGTGCAAATGAAATGAGAAATAGCTAAAATAACAGAGCTGTTTCCACTCTAATCCTTCAATTACAGCGTACTTTTGCATTATTAAAGTCAAAATCCCAGAATTATCTTCCAAATCTGTGTCGTTTAGACATCCTAGAGAAGAAATTGCAAGTTGTGCACGAGTTTTTCTCTGTTCAATCCTGTTGACATTTCCATTTCCACTCATATGTCATTTATCCATGCAGACATGTAACAGAGGATATGAATTTTAAGTAAACGTGGTCTGAGCTAGGGCCTCTGCTCACTGATGGAGGATAAAGTTTACAGATTTAAAATGAGCAGCATGGAATTCTAAAATGGGGAAATAAGATTATTCATTCTGATGCAATTTTTGAAGGATTTAGCATCTTTAGTACACATCATCTTAATCTCAAAGACCTGCCCTATCCACACATACGTGTCAGTCTATGATGGTAGGATTGTGCCTTCAACCTAGCCCAGTGTGTACAGTGGCCTTATGCAGCAGCTGGACTGTTGTCTGGAGTTAGCTACTTTGAACACAATACTCTCATCTTGAAATAATTAAAATGAACCCCTGTTTGTTTCCAAGTTTAAGTCAAGTGATTGGTTCTTACTTGTGAGACACTTTGTGTCCCTTTGGACAGAACTATCAGTTTATAAATGTTGTAAATGAATAAAATTAAATTAGCTTTAACTTCCATCTGGATCCTATCTCCATTGAATCCAGAGCATGAATGCCTACTCCATTTAATCCTGAGGTCAACTTTTTTGAGCCTGTGAGCACCTTTGGAATTCTGACAAAGGGTATTGGGAGCAACCTCAAAATGGCTGCCGCAGGAGATGGCACCAACATGAAATGGCTGCTACAGGAGGCGGAGCCAACCACAAATGTCAGGAAGTAAGGTTATATGTAGCTCTAATACTAATATTTTAACATTTCAGGTAGAAGCTCTGTTTAACAGGATGCCCTTTAAAATTAACATATTATTTTAAAATATTTTCTTGCATACATACATCTTACCACTGAAAATCCTTGTGCTGTGTTGGCCAATCAGAATCCCTGCTAGACCAAAGCCCAAGCTGGTTCCACCCACTTTACAAAAACACTTGGTGATCACCAGGAAAGGTGTTAGTGGGTGCCATGGTGTTCACAGGCATCACAATGGGGACCCCTGACCTAAGCAAAGTTACCCCTTTTGAATTCAACCGTCGTAGAAGGGTGTAGCCCTGTTCAGGGTTGCATTGTTAGTGACTAATGCCGGGTTCTCTTAATAGTGCCTTGAACTATTGATGGTCCTTCCTTTCATGCTGATTCAGAGATAAGGCAGGGATATATGTGTTCAGGAAAAATTATGTTGTGCTGTTTATATAGTCCATAGTGTGAGCTGAACACCCTAAAGGAGTGTTGAATGCTTACCTGGCTAGATACAGTATTGGCCTTGACTCTGTTATTTTTCCGTTGCTTTGTGGGAGGCGGGGGATGTTATCCCTTGCCATCCAACTAGCTAAGTGAATAAACCCTAGGGAGGAGGTCAGGTGACAATCATCTGCTGCTGTTACATGTCTTTACTTCCTTCCAGGGATCTACAGATATGCCATGAGTCCATTTAGCCATAACCTCCTCCCACGTCAGTGCATCATTGACTGTGGTCTTTGATTTTATATTTGGAGGGATGGGTAGGAGACTTGAATTGTGACTGGCATTCAGTGTTGGAATGTTTGATGCCTGTTTCTGTGGAGTGCCCTGGTCTGAGAGAGAGATTCTTACAGTCTTTTCATGTAGACTATATCTTTCCCTGGCAATTGATTTCTCATGGAGAATTTCACAGCCTTTAGATGTGTCATCTGCTTCTCACTACATGAATTGGGGGTGATCCAGTAGTGAACTTCCCCATTCCTGATCCAAGGCAGTGGCATGTTTCATTAGTGCCACATTTGTAATATCTTTAGTAATACACAAACTGCTGAATCATTATATTGGGCAAGAGCTCTTACTATTTGGGATTTACTCTTATTTTGTGGCATCAGGGCCAGTTCCAGGTTTTTGTAGGCCCTGGTGAGAGAGTATAACCGGGCTCCATTTTCTGCTCTGAGGCTATGGTCACACATACTCTAAAATCAGGGGTCATTTGGGGGGGGACGTGGGGGGACGCCATCCCCCCGGGTGAGGTGCGGGAGGGCGGGGCCTGGAGCTCCCTGCTGGTGCCCGCTGGGGGTCGCTGCCGGCTGTGGGGAGGACACACTTCCAGTGATGTCAGGGGGTGTGGCATATGCTAATGAGTTATGCTAATGAGTCCCCCTAGCTCTTTTTCTACGAAATGACCCCTGTCTAAAATAATCTACTTTCAATCCACTTTCAGTGCACTTTCCAACTGGATTTTACTGTGTGAACTGGCAAAATCCAGTTGGAAAGTGCATTGAAAGTAGATTATTTAGTGTGTGTGACCACAGCCTGAGTCCCTGTTAGGAAGAAAGATGGGGT